TATGTTTTCAAATATTTTCCATTTTTTTTATTTATCAAAAATCCGGCAGCATTTTGGTATTGTTTGAGCATTTGGTTTTTCACAACAAATAGTCATCCTCACTTAGTCCTAACACTACTTATTTCCATAATTCACTCATTTAGACAATCCGGTCAACATGCAAAGCCGAGCAAATAAATGCATAAGTAGCACGTAAGATGCATCAGGATGGTCCATTATTTCAGGTCACCTGTCCTAGACGGACCCAGCCCCTGTGTTGAGTCCCCTAAGTCAAATGCACATGATGCAAACAAATATCCTACTAGGGATCCGGCATGAGGTTTTGTTCTTCTAGGTTTAAACCCTAGGTTTATTGGTCTAGACCTGGCTTACCCGAGCGGACAACTCGAGCCGAGGGGGAGGCAGCGTACCGGGGATACAGAAGCTCCGCCGGCTTTGCAACTTATCCAAACCTCGTTCTAAATGGGAAAAGACTCTAAACAGAAGAGAAGCTACACGAAGTGCACCCTTCTCCATGATTTAGAAGACTCAGAAAGAGGAAGGGATTTGCGACAGTTTATATATACAATTTCAACAAATATCAAAGCAGTAAAACATTTAGCACGTATAGCATGGAACATGTAGAAAAATCAGATAAAGCCAAATATAACAATTGTACTAAGCTCGAATTCTTGAACCCTGAATCGAAATTCTGGGTTCGTGTCCCCAGCAGAGTCGCCAGAGCTGTCACACCTCCTTTTTTACACACCTACCCCGAAGGATATAGGGAATTTTTTTATTTAAAGTGACATTATTCGAAATGGGATTATTTATTTGTTTTTAGAGTCGCCACTTGGGATAGGATCGGCTTTTGGTGTCCCAAGTCATCGGTTTGACTTGAATCCCAAATCGAGGAAAATTTCGACTTCCCAATTGGAGTATGCGAACCAGAAATTCTGAATAACGAATTCTGTTGACCCGAGGGAAGGTGTTAGGCACCCCCGAATCCCGTGGTTCTAGCACGGTCGCTTAAATTATTATAATTGGCTAACAATGTGATTTTAATACATGTCATCTTATAGCGCACTTTTAGAATTGTTTACCGCTTTTAGTTAATTTTTAGGAAAGTGAACGTCGTTTAAGAATATATTTTCGGATCACGTCACATGAAATGCACCCGGATCCTCAACACATTCTTATTCAATATTTTGGGACTTGGATTTGGGTTGCATGAAATGCACACCCGTATTTAAGAAGGTAGAATTATTAAAAACACGCCTAAAGCGACTAACGGGTTATTATCTTTGTGGGAGGCCATGAAAAATTCGCTAAATGGCATGTCCCGGATTCTAAGTATTTTAATATAAACATTTAAAGAGGGCCACGCAATTTATGCATTTAATTTGGCGCGGCGCACCTCGTTTTTATTTTAAGGGCCAACCTAAAAGAACTATGATTTTCTATCAAGTATTGTCTCTAAAGGGGCCCTAATTAGCATTGTGAATTATTATTATTTAAAAAAAATTCAAGGAATTCGGGCCTTAAACTCAAGTCCACATTTGAACAAGAGGATAACCTCCTAATTCAAACATGCTACTTAGCTTGGAAGGCCCAAATTATAATTTAAACTCAATAACCCTTAAATCTAATAGCTTAAATTTTTCGCGTGTTGGGCCTCAAAAGCCAGCCCTTGGGAATAAGCTTGTCCCATTTTAACTTGTAAAGCCACCTGCAAGGCTGTCTAACATCCAGGCCGTAGAACAGGCCCAGATTACGAGTAGGCAGGGACTGGACTCTTGTAAGGCTAATCGATTTAAACGAAAAGGCTGAAGATATGTTAGGGCATGTCGTTATACCACCAGGCCCAACTCTTATTTTAAACCAAAGGATTACACTGCTTCAGCTCATAAGGAGCCCAACTCTAATACCAATTTTGGCTTTGGGCTTATTAACAAATTTATAAAGCAAATGGGCAATTCATTCACATCAAAGGGCATGCTGATTTTGGAGTGCAAACAATTCTTTACAGTTCTAAATTATTCACCTAATGATTACCATTCTAAATCTGGAAAGTTAAAAATAAATTTAAGCAATTCCTAAATCATCAATTAACATGGGATATAATGTAAGTGCTGACAATTAAGTTGTAGCCTATTATTCTGGAGTTTGTTTTCAACATAAACATAACGCACAAACTAAACTAACTAATCATATTAAACTACAGGATATGCTGAACGATATAAGTATATACACTGATTTTGTATCTTTGTTTTCTAATCCACATCTTAGACCAAACTTAACCCTCAAAGTCAATATGGTAACCAAACTAAACTATAGTTAACATCACAGTCATACACATTTGAAAGCAGTCCATAGAGTCCAATTACAACCGATTTAAGGTCCTATGATACAATTAGAATACTATCAAAAGGTATTGCTATTCTAAACATTAGGAATTCAAATAAAACACAACAAAACATTCATATAACAGCTTGTTTATCATTGAACTTCAAAGGCGTTCGTACAGGTTGATCTAATTCTTCACGTAACACTTGAAGTTAAAGATGTACCTGGAATGGAATCAAAATGAGGAGAAGAAGAGGTCAGCTTCAGCAGTATACGAACAGATGCAGAGTTTCAGCAGGAGATAGCAATTTCAAATCCAAAAAACCCAGGGACTGACTCAAGCAAACAGCACCAGTAAAATGACCAAAACTAAAGCCCAAATGAACCTAAGTAGACTTTGAATAATTCTAGGAAAACTTCTGAACTTCAGCCAACCAAACAACAGGAATTTCAATTCATTTTCATCTTCAATCTAAGCTAGAAACTCGAATGCAAGAGCTGAAACTCGAAGTTGAACTAAGAGGCTTCAATAGAATAGTATTTTTGAGTTTTGTGTTGTTTTTTTTGGGTTTTTGAAGAACTAAGACCTACAAATGAACTTTCTAGCTCTCAGATTTTAGTTTTTGTTTTTGAATTTGAAATTCAAATTTTCAGATCCAAAACTTGCAGAAAATGTGTATTGGGGGGAAATTTAGGAGCTGGAATTTTTGGAATTTTCAGATTGTTCAACTTGTTTAGCAAGCCAGTGCTGGGCTGCCTTTATAGGCAAGGCTAAGGGAAGTTTCAGATTTTTCATTTACCCCCTTGCCCCCTCTTTTATTTTTCAGTTTTAGCTAATTAGTCCTTAAGGTTTTGGCTTGTGGCCCAAGTTACTACGCTTAATTTCCTGAATTTCAAATTAGAACCCCAATCTAGAAGATTCTAGGGGGTTCTATTTTCAGTTTACTGCAGAATTTCCTATTTGAATTACCTATATTACCCATGAATTGATTCTGAATTACTAGCCTAGGCAACCCAACCCCCTAGTTAAATTTGACTATAGTTAATCAAAGGTTCTGAGTTATTGAGCTATATCCAAACAACTAAACTAATAAAATCCTAATAATCAAAACAGGCAGTCAAGGCGAAAACTAACTCTAGTTAATACTAATGAATCAAATTGAATTGAAATTAACTCTAACAACAATTAACAACATAACAGAATAAGAAAAAAATCTAATCTAATTAACTAATTAGTCAAATTAAAACCTATAATAACACTGAATTAAACCAGGAAATCTTCAGCAAAACAAAGATTAAACTAAAAAAATCACAAACAGGATCAAACAACAATTAAAATCATCTCAATAACAGAATCAGAACAAGGATTGAATTAAGGTAAAATCAAACAGAATCAAGCATCGAATCAAGGAGAAACTTACTGATTTTGAGATTTGAACTAGCTTGAACTCGAATTTGGTTCTCAAATAATGTTATGTGTTTGTTCTTGCAAAGAACAAATACATAACACGATTTTAAAACCAATTAAACACTGGCCGACCTAGAAATTCAAACAAACCTGACAGCAAACCCTAGATCTAAGATTTTAAAATTTTTAGTCGAATTTGGGAACAATAGCTTGGGGGTTTAGGTAGAGGAGAGTGAGGGGAGTGTATGGTGCAAATTTGGTAGGGTTTGGGTGACGGCGCCGCCGTGCACGGTGGTGGCGGCGCCTAGGGTTTGATATATTTGAGGGTTTTGGTTGGGATTCAAAGAAATGTAAGAATGGATATGGAAAGAGGAGGGAAGGAGGAGACTGTGGTAAAAATTCGGGGGTCATTGGTGACTCGCCGCCGGCGGAGACGATTTCCGGCCGGCGGCTCATGGCGGAGGGTGGCGGAGAAGTGGTGGTGATGTTAAAGGAGGTCTAAGACGATGGTGAGAGGGGGGGGTAACGGATCCGACATTATTATATCACATTAAACCCAGTTCCTGGCCGTAGGATCAAGAATCCTCGACGACCAGGATTAATTTGCACTAAACGACACCGTTTTGGTATAAAGGTGCTGGATCGGGTTAGCTCATGGATCTGAGCTAATCCTGAACGGGTTGGGGAAGGGTTCGTTTGGGCTGGCCTCAGAGTTGGCCCAAATTACACCAGCCTATTTCTTCTTACCTCCATTTCATTTTCTTTTATTGGTTTTCTTCTTTTTTTCTTTCTTTATTTATTTAATTTTCAGATTTTATTAGGTACAAAATTAAAATATAGCTAAAATCTGATTTAACTCTAACATGAGACTAATTAATTCTCAAAAAATTAAACAAATCCTAGTTTAAAAAGAAAACTTAAGGAAAAATCAAAAATTGAAAGTAAAACAATACAAAGGACTATTTTTAATTATTTTCTCCTATTTTCAATGATGTTAATTAATCTAACAATCTAGAATTGGGTCCTAAATGCAAGTATGCTATTTTGTAATTTTTTATTTTTTATTTTTTATTTTTTTATGACAACTAAAAATGCACACAAAAGGCAAACAAGGCACAAAATCATGCAATTAGTTCCTAAAAATTCAAATAATAAAGAAAAATCCTAATTCTAAGGAATTTTGTAGGAGTAATTTAAGCGTGGCAAAAATCACGCGATCACATTCTGTAACCGCAAAGTTGTTATGCAGGTCGCAGAACTGTAAAGCTTACCGCAGGCCAATTTTTCTGCCTGTGTCTGTGATGACTATGCGGTTCGCATAGTCATTATGCGACCGCATAGTTGTCACAAACTCTGGACCTTTCTTTCCTTCATTTTCCTCAGCACTAGCACCCTGTTCATTATATTTTGGACTACCTGCACTCTAACACACACGTCAACCTACTCAATACATTCAACTAAACTACATAAATGAAAAACTAAAGAAAGAGTGTTACCACACATAGGTTGCCTCCCAAGAAGCGCTTGACTTAACGTCGCGGCACGACGCAGTTGACCCCATTTGGGTTATTCATTGGTGGGGACTGTTGTTGGACTATCCTTTAGAGCGAATTGTTCTATCAAATGCCTTTCTCATGTGGTACCGAGATAATGCTTGACTCGTTGACCATTCACTTTGAAAGTTCGAGTTCCATCCTCCGACTCAAGTTCAATAGCACCATAGGGGGACACACTCACAACTTTGAACGGGCCAGCCCAATTGGACTTGAGTTTTTTCGAAAATAACTTGAGTCTTGAATTGAAGAGTAAGACCAAGTCAGCGGACTTGAATTTCCGCTTCAAGATCTTCTTATCATGGACAAACTTTATTCTCTCCTTGTACATGGCTGCACTCTCATAGGCATGGAGACAGAATTCCTCCATCTTATTGAGTTGTGTCATTCTCAGGTTAGCAGCCTCGGCCCAATCAAGATTCAACTTCTTCAATGCCCACATGGATTTGTGTTCAAGATCCACTGGAAAGTGACACGCTTTTCCAAAAACCAGTTGGTACGGTGAAGTGCCAATGGGAGTCTTAAATGTTGTACGATATGCCCACAACGCATCATCTAGCTTCCTTGACCAGTCGGTCCTGTTTGCATTATTTGCTAGGATGTTTTTTATTTCCCTGTTAGAAACTTCAACCTGACCACTCGACTGAGGATGATAGGGTGTGTCCACCTTGTGCTTTACCCATACTTTTCAAGCAGCCCGGGGAAAGCTTTGTTGCAGAAATGAGAACCACCATCACTCAGCATGGCCCTTGCGGTACCAAATTGTGTGAATATGTTCTTGTTCAAGAATGCGGTCACACTCCTTGCTTCATTGTTAGGCAAGGCGATTGCCTCGACCCATTTGGAGACGTAGTCCACAGCTACGAAGATGTAGGTCATGCCATAAGAGCTCACGAAAGGGCCCATAAAGTCCACACATCAAAGATCTCGACCTCCAGTACAAAATTTATAGGCATCTCATATCTTTTAGATATTGACCCTTGTCTTTGACATTGATCTCATGCCTTGACTATTTGATTTGCGCCTTGGTAGATCGGTTTGGCCAATAGTAGCCACATTCAAGCACCTTTGAAGCTGCCTGGTTTTCTCCATGATGACCCCCAACCAGAGAATCATGGCATGCTTTGAGAATTGGCATTACCTCATCTTCCGGAACACACCACCGAATGATGTTGTTGGCACAAATGTGGAACAAAAAGGGTTCCTCCCAGTAGTATTGCCTACATTCTCGCAAGAACTTTTTCTTTTGATAAGTCTCCAATCCATCGGGAATAAGGTCACTAACCAAAAAGTTAGTGATGTCGGCATACCAAGGAGCGAATGTGCTAGACAATGCCAATATGTGCTCATTTGGAAAGGCATCATTGATTTCAGGGTCTTCTTTTGGTCTCCCTGCCTCTTCAAGCCTAGATAGGTGATCCGCAAATTGATTCTATCCCTTTCCGATCCTTGACTTCAAAGTCAAACTCTTGCAACAAAAGGACCCACCGTATCAATCTTGGTTTGGCATCCTTCTTCGCTATTATATAGCGAAGAGCAGCATGATCGGTGTAAACTATCACTTGACCCCAGCAAATAAGCCCGAAATTTTTCAAATGCATAGACTATGGCGAGAAGTTGTTGCTCAGTCACAGTGTAATTCATTTGAGCGCCATTGAGTGTCTTGCTTGCATAGTAGATAGGGTGAAAGATATTGTTATGACGTTGACCAAGCACCGCCCCAATAGCTACACCACTAGCGTCACACATGAGTTCGAATGGAAGAGACCAATCGGGTGTGACAATAAAAGGTGTCGTGGTGAGCTTTTCATTCAATTACTCAAAAGCCTTTAGACACTTCTCATCAAATAAAAACTTTGCATCTTTTTCAAGGAGCTTGCACATGGGATTTGTAATTTTTGAGAAGTCCTTGATAAAATGCCTATAGAAGCCGGCGTGTCCCAAAAAGCTTCGAACACCTTTTACTGAAGTGGGCGGAGGAAGCTTGGAAATGATTCCGATCTTTGCTAGGTCAAACTCTATGCCTTGCTTGGAAATTTTGTGGCCTAAAACAATGCCCTCGTCCACCATGAAGTGGCATTTCTCCCAGTTTAGCACAAGGTTTGTTTCTTCAAATCTTTTGAGCACTTGTCTAAGGTTGTCAAGACAATGCTCGAAGGAATCACCCACTATAGAGAAGTCATCCATAAACACCTCTAAGAAATCTTCTACCATGTCCGAGAAGATTGACATCATGCACCGTCGGAAAGTAGCCGGAGCGTTGCATAGCCCAAATGGCATACGGCTAAAGGCAAAAGTCCCATATGGTCTTGTGAATGTCGTCTTCTCTTGATCTTCCAAGGCGATGTTAATTTGGTTATAGCTGGAATATCCATCAAAGAAGCAATAGAATGACCTTCTCGATAGCCGATCAAGCATTTGATCAATAAAAGGCATAGGGAAATGGTCTTTGCAAGTCGCACGATTAGCTTCCGGTAATCCATGCAAACTCTCCATCCGGTCACTGTTCTAGTTGGGATGAGCTCATTTTTTGTCTTTTTGAATCACGGTCATGCCTCCTTTCTTCGGCACATATTGCACCGGACTCACCCAAGAACTATCGGCAATGGGGTAGACCACCCCGGCATCTAACCATTTGATGATTTCTTTCTTTACCACCTCTTGCATGGAAGGGTTTAACCTTCTTTGATGCTCCACACTTGGTTTGCTCTCTTGCTCCAATTGTATCTTGTGTTCACAAATTCCGGAGGGAATCCCTCGGATGTCCGCTATTGTCCACCCAATAGCTTGCCTGTGCTCCCTCAAGACATTCAATAGTTGTTCTACCTGCACATCATTTAACAAAGAAGAAACGATTACCGGTACAGTGTCATTAGAGCCAAAAAATTTATACCTCAAGTGTGGTGGAAGTGGTTTGAGCTCAAGTTGCAGCGGCTCAATAATTGAAGGCTTGGCAAGAGGAGTGACTCTATTCTAAGTCAAGAGAAAGTTTCTTTAGAGCATAAGTGTAGGACCCAAGTCCTTCTAATGCATTCACCGATTCCATGTACCCCTCCATATCTTCACCATCAAAGTTCACCAAAATAGCCGCCAACGCCTCACCAAGGCATTGTTCTTCCATCTTCATCTCAATTGCGTCTTCTACCTCATCAACAACATCAATGACCGAGATGCTTTCATATGTATGTGTCAACTTCATACCCTTGCTCGCTTAGAATGTAACCTCTTTGTCATTAACTCGAAACTTGATCTCATTCTGTTCTGAATCCATAAGTGCTCTTCCGGTAGCAAGAAATGGTCTCCCCAAGATGATACGGATCTCTTTGTCAATAGCATAATCAAGGATCATAAAGTCACCGGGGAGGAGGAACATTCCCACTTTCACAACAACATCATCAACAATTCCCACCGGTCTCTTTATTGAACGATCAGCCATTTCCAACCTCATACTTGTAGGCCTCGGCATACCTAAGCCCGCTTGCTTGTAAATAGCAAGAGGCATTAAATTGATGCTAGCCCCATTATCACAAGGAGCTCTTGCAAAATCGCACGCCCCAACAGTTCATGGAATGGTAAAAGCTACCGGGTCTTCTTTCTTTTGAACAGTGGTTGTTGCAATGATGGAACTAACCCGGTGAGTCACATTCACCACTTCATTCTTGGTGGTTTTCATCTTGGTGTTCAAGTCTTTCAAATACTTAGCAAAACCCGGCATCTCTTGAAATGCTTCCACAAATGGAATATTTACCAATAATTGCTTGAGAATGTCATAGAACTTCTCGAGTTTGTTATCATCAACATTCCTAGCAAGTCTTTGAGGGAAAGGAGGAGGAGGTCTAGGAATTGGTGCTAGAGTTTTTGGCGTCTCTTTCACCTTTTCCTTAACCTCTTCCCGGTTCACTTCTTGAATTTTCAACTCTTCCGGGACCTTTTTAGATTAAACAACAATTGGCACTTCAACTTGTGCCTCAACTTCTTGTTCGAAATCTTCCACTTCGACCAATTGTTCATTCTCTCCTTGAAGTACTTTCCTACTCCGAGTAGTAATTGCCATGCAATGAGAAGTTGGACTACTCCCACTACCTTTTGGGTTTGCAATTGTGTCACTTGGGAGTGTGCCCTTTTACTTCGGATTTTGCTCTCTTGAGAGATCTCTCATTTGAATCTCCAACTTTTGAATAGATGCGGTATGAAAACCGACAAGCTCGGTCATATTCCTCATTAAAGTGTCGGACCTTTCTTGATTTTACAATACTCGCTCAAGCATGTTTTCCAACTTGGAATCACTTGAAGAACCTTCCTTCCAATGCGGAGAGTTGGAATATAGCCCTTTCGGTGGAACATATGGGTTTGAACTCCGATTTGAAAAGTTATTGTTGTTGTTACTCCAATTCCCTTGATTTGAACTACCTTGGTCATTTCCCCACTGTTGGTTGCCTTGCCCTTGCGGGTTAGGCCTCCATTGGTTTTGTTGTCCTGAACCTTGGTACTATTGCCTTTGATAACCTCCTTGAGAGTTGTTGACATAATTTTCTTCCTCATAATCTTCATTTTATGTGGGTTGAACATGCTCCACCACATTCACTTTTTTTGTTTGGCTTTCAGTGAGCATCTTTGTTAACACATTGACTTTGGTGGCAAGCCCGGCAATTACTTGATCTCTTTCATGGTTCTCCTTAATCACGTTGGTCAAGGAAGGAGTACCATATGCAATTCCACCCGTGTTGTCCTCTGAGTTCCAAGCTTGGTTATGTTTTCCCATTTTGTCAAGGATTTGTGTGATTCTCGCAAATATTTTATCCGTAAAAGATCCATCAGCTGCATTCTTGGCTATAGATTGGTTCATAGCATCCAAACCCATGTACAATTTCTCCAACAAGATAGAATCCAGAAAATCATGATTCGGCGACCTCACCAAATATAACTTGAATCGATCCCATACCTCATGTAGATGTTCTCCCGGTAATTGCTTGAAAAAGAAAATTTTATTCCGGAGCTCGGATTTCTTGCCTTGCGGGAACCATTTAGCTAGGAATGCTCGGACAAGTTCGGGCCAAGAATGGATTGAATTTGGTGGTAGATTTTGAATCCATTTCCTCGCCTCTCCAGAGTACTTGAACACCCTCAACCTTAGGGCATCCTTTAAGACGTTGTTCTGCTTGTGCATCGCACACACACCCAAGAAGTTTCTGAGATGTTGTGTCAGATCATCATCGGTGGAATTGCTGGAAAAACCCCCTCTGCTTTGAGCATTAGGATTAAATCGTGTTCCACCTTAAAAGTGGCAGCGTCAACTCTCGGAGGTACAATAGCAATTGTATCCTCAATGTAATCATCTATGTCCGCAAAAGGATTCTCTTCTTCGTCATATTCGGACATGTTTTCCTATCAACACCAAGAAAAACAAGAAAAGTGTGATGGAATAGACAAAGACATAAAGTAAAGCACACACTAATTAGTAATTTCAAAACCGTATTCCCCGGCAACGGTGCCAAAATTTGATACGCATAAATTCCACTTTAATTAAACAGTGTAAGGCGGTCGGTGTCTAATATAATAACCCAACAAGGTTGGGGTCGAATCCCGCAGGGAATATGTGTGAAAAGGTTACTTGTGAAACTTGACTTAAGTCGTAATTCTATTCCTTTAGCTTAACAAGAGAATGATGTAATTGTGATTTAATAAGATAACTAATTTTGATATGTGAATGTGATTATTTTGATTAAGTAAACCAAGGTTGTGTCCCCATCAATGAAATATAATGCTATCGGTGTTAGTATGATATATTTCTAATGGAAGGTCCTTTTGATATGCAAATTGTTTCTAAATGACTACCTAATATTTTCCAATGGTTGGGTAGTATTTTCTCTTTATGATTTTCCCAAATATAAAAGAGTTGCAATTAA